ACCGCATAATAGAAAAACCACTGGAGGGATTTTGATGAAATTTGGTATGGTGATAGCTGGTTATCCGGATCAACATATAGAATACTTTTTACCGCGGGAAAATATCTCATTATACTAATATGTAAAACCTAAGAATTTGGTTTCAGGTCATCTAAACGCGAGTGGAGCCGTGGGCAATGCTAGTTATTACATAAATAATACTACTAGTAATAATTATAAACGAAACAAAAATATAATAAATAACGGCTAAACACATAACCTCTTTAATACAAGTCGATAAAGTAAATATATTTAATTTAGCACTGTGCTTAATACATTTTTATAAATATTAAATTTAACTAAATATTTTTTTGAATAGAATATTAAGAATACAAGCTTTAGTAGAGATTTTTTTTATAAACACAGCCACTACAGAGTTAAAACAAAAACACAAAACAATTTATATAAAAGGCATCTGTATATTTCAGCTCTTAATTTTTAATAGTTAATATACTGAAATATAATTTTGCCGTTGCGGAAGACTTATTAGTTATTACTATAATATTCTAACGAATCTTGAACAAAAGAATAGCAAATTCTATTTAATTTTCATTAATTTTCAAGTCAATTACGTGGTTATAGCTTACGAATGAAGTGTGGGATATTTTGAGTGTAAAGTTCAATTTTCTTCATGCAAACATGACTCATAAATCTATACTAATATTATAAAGAGCTAAAGTTTGTGAGTTTGTGATGTTGTAGGGATAATCTCAGGATCTACTTAACCGATTTAGATGAGATTTGGTAAGGAGATGAGGCTTGAGACCCTGGGACGGACATAGTACTTTTTATACCGGAAATCAAAGCGAACGAAAATGGGGATGAAAGTTAGTATGGGGAATCAATAAAGTATAAATTTATACAGAATGTGCTATTTCAGACTATGCCCAATACATAATCATATATTTCAATTCTCTTTGTAATCGTTTAAGAATCAGTATGAGTCGTTTAGCCATAGAGCTAATGTAAATAATTAGCAATAGATAAATATACCACAAATACTAATTTCTGACAAAATAGAAGCCTGTATCATTTTTTGGCATAAGCTATTATAATTATAGCTTCAAAAATGATGTTTAATACAATTTTTAAGCTATTGCATAGCTTCTATCGCGGGCCTTGAGCGTGGGGATCGAATCCAGAAATTCCGTAACGAAAAAAACCTAACACCCCCCACTCCGACCGGCACAGCGGTGATACTTTTTTCCATCTGTCGATAAATACCAGAACTTTTAATGACTTTTTGAAATATCACGCTTGTCTCTTTAGTTCAGCAACCCGCCTTTAGGTGGCATTGGTTGTATTGGAAAACTACCGTAATCAGCTGTTTGTGAGAAAGTATATAGGTGTATAGGTATTTATCATCTATGTACAACAGTGAATAACTGTACTCGTATAATTTGTGTACAAAGTGTTTTAAATATGAATAAACAAAGTGCATTTATTAATAAAGAAAGTCACGAAAAAATAGTGAAAGAAAATGAGTTAGTACTCTATATACATTCATTTTATTATTATTGTCACAAATGCAGTATTATTTTTTGTTTTGTTAATTTATATATAGTACTGCTATAAAGATAACCAAAATTTTTGATATTAAAATAAGCTTGCATAGGTTGATAAAAAATGCTATGCAATAGCTTTACCGCGGCAGTCTCCGAGTGCCACATTTAATTTTTTATCTCCTATTGGTAGGGGAGCCCAAGAGAGGATTTTTGTAGTTACTCAAGCGCGGCAGATTAACATAAAATAGGTTACCTTGCACTCTATTGAGTATTATTAAATTGGACACTTTTCAGGATGTGACTAGCCTACCACACCTTAATCTGACGGTTTCAAGTATTTCTACCTTATCAAAACATTTTTTAAATATTTTAATCGGCTTCCCTAGACGCGCCCCTTTATATAGAAGACTTATATTGTGGTGAAAGTACTCAATAGAGTGCAAGGTAACCTCTTTTATGTTAATCTGCCGCGCTTGAGTAACTACAGAAAATCCTCTCTTGGGCTCCCCTACTATATAGAAACCTTTAGGGGATGAATTTTTAAACATTTCATACTTCTCACATATTATGTTATAAAGAGGGGTTAGGATAGACTTATCGGTTAAGGCTGTGTCTTGTCTGTCTGTCAGTCAGTGTTGCAGTTATGAAGAAGAATATATTATTATATATAAGCTAAGCTCTACATTTTTTACTATTAAAACTCAATCAACTCAATATACACTTATTTGTTCTATTGAAAAGTGGTATTGCTTTGGAAATAAACCAGTAATAACCAGGTTTATTCGAAATAATATCTATAAAAATAATATATATTAACATTTATCAGTACAATTGTCGCTTATACTCGTAGTGACCGAATTCGTTGAAGTTATCTAAGAGATAGACAATAATGCATATATTAATTTTTATATGTGATGTTTGGCTCAGTTTGTAGTGACCCTACTTAATGTACCAGCGCTCTCGGGTTCGAGTCCCGCTGGGGTCATTCATTTGGGTGATGAGCATGAATGTTTGTACTCTAGCATGGGTGTTTATACTTATAATATGTATGTATTTAAAGTTTTATATGTGTAGTGTATCAACTATCTGGTATCCATAACGCAAGCCTCGTAGCTTACCATGGAACTAGATGGTGCTGTGTATGAATGTCCCTATTAACATATTTATTTATTTATGTATATATATTAAATAGGTAGCTCATAAGCTCTGCTAAGCTCAGTGTAATTATCAAAAGCCCAAACAAATAAAAATGCCAGACCCCTTTTACTTGATCCGAGATCTTTTAGGACCTAGTCGCAAAACTAGCGACTAACGAGAATGTTCCTACATAGTGCAAAAACTAAAATTGTAGAAAAGACGTTAAAAAAAGTCAGGTACAATATCTACGTTACAGTGTTTTATTCATACGACCTAAAAACTACTTCTGTAGTGTATAAGAAATTCTCTTTGAATGATTTTTAATTGTTTTGGCTTCAATATTTTACTTTTACACTGATATTTCTTTATGCAATAACGTGTTATTAATGGTTTGAAAGTGGATTAAAGACTGTATGTAAAGTATGCAAAATATTTAATTTAGTACCAATTTTATTATCTTTATTTAAAGACTGATGAAAAACGAGTGTTGTCACGAGTTTGATGCTTGTATCTTTCTGTGTCTGTCTGATGGTATCGTAATTCTCAAATAAAGTATGTATATCACATATTATAACACTAGAATAATTAACGCGACAGTTTGTTTGTTGAATAAGATTTTCGTTGAAATTTAGTACCTATACACATATAGAGAGAGTCTAGTATATAAATAGATCTAAAATAAAACATAGGCTACTTATAGTAATAAGATTTGCCAAAAGGTGGCGGTACCTGTATATAATCTCATTAAAAATTTAATATATAATATTATATGTAAATGCAAAAGTTTGGATGGATGTTTGTTACTTAATCACACCAGAACGTCTGAAGGGCTTCTTGAAATTTGGCACAGATATAGGTTATAGTCTGTAATAGCATAAGTTACTTTTATCCCGGAAAAATTACGGTTCCCGTGGGATAGATTTATGTTTGTTTGTCACTTGGGATGAAGCCCGAGCGAAGCGAGGGTGAGTTGCTAGTAATGTTATAAATACAAAAGGCATGTAGAGACGCATCCGGGCGAAGAAAGTATAAGTGGCTAGTATATTTAATTCTGCTAATAAATTATATATAAATGAAATAATTACTTCGAATTCTGCTAATCCAGTAACCGGATTACCAAAATCATTTTGTTTATCCGATTTAAATAATTATTTTCATAAAACACTCTCTAATGGATTAATTTAGGTTTATATAATAAAGTATTTTCTAGATATTTGTTTTAAATAAATTGCTTGTTAATAACATATATCTTGATATACAATAAAACATATTTAAAATATAATTCATATAATATGGTTTATGACTCACATATTTAGCCTAATTAATATGTAAAACTAAAATTCAGAAACTGTTAGATGCTTAAAAGTAAAAAATATATTTTAAACCTTCAATTTTTGTTATAATTATTGAAATATCATACTTATTTAGAGATATTCTCTAAATTTAAAGAGAAATAAAAAAATTCAAAGATGTAGAGTAATTAAAAAAAATATGTCCGATAAAATATATGTAGCTCTACGAAAAACAGAAGCCAAAATGAATCAATTTCAAGGAAAATTAAAAATATCTTGATACAAATGATATGAGATTTTAATATATCTATAGTAACCTTCACGTCGCACGTACGTCCACGTTTTTACGTTTGCCTTGAAAAAAGTCAATAGCCAATAGACCTCTAGCGACATCTGCCATGAATTTTCCAAATCAATGTTTTTCTAAGTAAATGGAATTGAACTTTTCTACATATTTTAGTTTGTAATCTTTTACATGAACAATTATTATAGCATGCTAAGATTTCGAGCTATAAATAGGGAACGATTCAAAGTCACGGGTAGGAAAATGTCACATCTTGAGGGGTTATTTACGAGATGTAGGACATTACTGAATGAATATAATACTGTGAATTAAACAGTTGGGCAACGTTTAGGGGAAGTGGTCTGAAATGTGCGATAACCAAGCGACCGCTTGGCATTTAGCGAGGGAACATTTAGCTCAATTTAAATATATCTTAGAAGCGAAACGCTGACGCTTACCGACCGGTTGACGGAGACACTCCCAAAAATCGAAAACCACCGTCACACGCGTTTTATCGATCTGAACAAGTCGGGCTGGTCCTAACGCGGAATTAATTCCGAGTGAAACAATAACGCACGAATCTTACATAATTTCTATCCGCCATCATGGAGACGACACGGGAATTCCGCCCCTACGCGCGAGCGTTACGCGCCGAAGCTATCCATTTTTCCATGCACAATAGCTATTTCAGTGCTGCGCCGGCGGCGGTTGCAACCTTGAATTTGGAACGCACCTTTAATTTTAGCCGGTTAACCTAGATAGGGTACCATTTCGAGTGCGATCGATATTCGCATGCGCGTCTCGGATCTTTTTATATGCGGTGTTGGGCCGTGTCCGGGCGGGTGAGTGTCTTGCCCGCTCGCGTGCGACTGCCGACGATGGCTCGGGCTCCGTGGCGCACGCGTACTCTGTTCGTAACGATCGAACCGTCCGTCCTATCACTTGTTCCAAAACAGGTGTGACCACGGCTTCAGAATCCACCAACTCGAAGGAGAATCGAAGCGAGACTCCAGAACGACTGTGGAGGACGTTTCAGAATTGTTGGTATACTGTTTTTGATCTGATTTAGGTTATAAAGTGTTAACAAGGTTTGCGTAATCCACTGTTCTACAAACACAATTTTAAGTGGCATGAATAAATGGGGCGGGATCCCTCACACCCCATGTTTAGCGATATATTGGCGCCTCCATACAGACTTCAATCCGTTGTCGGCTAGGGACAAGAGGCAATCTTTCTAAAAGAATTTTATGTGTCAAGTCATTAGAATGAAAAATTGTGAGTTGAGTGAGGGTTATAGGAAATTGATAACCTATGATTTTTTTAGTTACTGAATTTAGTGATGTTTTCATAGTATATTTTTATGGGAAATTCTGTGCTAATTAATTATTAAAAATACTGATATCTAATCCGAATTTACTACGATTTCGATTTTTTGTTTTTAATTTCGAATTGAACGTAACAAAGGTTGATATATTCTTTATATTTTTTTCATGTATTTTATAATAAATTATAAAATCATTTAATTTACTTAATCAAGCCAACCGCTCTGGCGTCTTATATACCTACTACTTTAGAAAAGTACCTAATACGACTTGCGCGTCACCTATCGTTCATAGATGGTACTATGTCGGAAACCTTCGGGGAAGTGCACACTTTTATTTAAAAAAGTTTCGTCCCAATGTAATATGTGTATATGTTATAAATGGACAGACACACAGAGAAATATATTTATATTATATATACATAATACTGAAATCAATAAACACCAATGATCATTTCGTTTAGCGTTCTTCTTATTATTAATCTTATAAATTTTATTATATTCTTGTTGCTAATATTCTTTAAATTTTTAATTTCAGTTAAAAATAAAGCTTCAAGTATCAAAATCTAGAAATCAAATATTGATTCTGAAAATATTAAAAAAATGCTAAAATGCTTTTAGGCAAAGTCGAATTAAGTAAGGATATTTTTAAAATGGTCGCCCATTGAAATCGCACTCACTTGGAAAATCAAGTGGTTCAAATCCAGGTCCCGCACCTTGACATTTACAAGTTCCAAATTTTTTTCAATATGATTTGTAAATACGGTGAAGGAAAATATTGGACTATGAAATGGTCGCGTAGATTATGGCCGTTATAGCTCTTACTAAAGAGAGACCTGTGCCCAACAGTGGGACTTAAAAAAGTCAAAATAATTTTTATTTTAAAGATTAATTTTTAAAATGTTATTAGTATTTATATGTATACTAGCGATTCACCCTCGCTTCGCTCAGATTCGTCCCTAGATACGTTTTGACGCTTTGTATGGAATTGTATTTTTTTTTTCAATTTTTTTTCGTGAATTTTTTCCGATGTTTTAATAGTTATAAATTTAAATATCATAGAATTTTTTTAAAAGAATTTCTCTAGTCCAGCCGTGCTTGAATTAGAAATGGTGTAACTAACCCGACTTCGTTTTATATTATATAGATTTCTATGATTAAAAACATAATATAGAGCTGCATCTCATTAGACGACACGTTTGGCTTAGTTTGTAGTGACTTACTTGCTGTGCCAGTGGTCGCGAGTTCGAATCCCGCAGCCTGCTAAGGGCATTCATTTGTGTCATGAACACGAATGTTTGTTACTCCAGTCATGGGTGTTTATATTTATAATATATATGTATGTATTTAAAGTTATATATGTGTAGTGTATCAACTTACTGGTATCCATAACACAAGCCTCGTAGCTTACCATGGAACTAGATGGTGATGTGTGTTAATGTCTCAACCATGAACGAATTAGAGACTGGACCTGACATAAAATACAAATGTATGAAAACTAGTTCAACCAAAGTGACGCATAACGCACACAAAGATTTTATTACATTATTATAAACACTGATACACAATACAATATTTCTAGTGCTTGAACGTAATCAATAAAATACATATATCGATGAACCAATGAATGACATTTTAGACATTGGTTAGCATATTCATTATATTTTACATCTTTTAATTTAAAATATCTGTATTTATTATAATAAATTAAATAAATGAATAAAAGAGGCAATAATAATGTGTCAAATAATAATAATTTTTTAATTTGATTTATATAAATACGATGGCATTGATGGCAACATTCTGTTGGCCTATAATAATGTTAATGAACAAATGAATATATATATTCCATTAATATATAATAAATGTTATTTTATAGAGATTAAAAAAATATTAAGCTAATTTAATTAAATAAAGTGATTTTGTTGAATCTCTTATTGAACTATTTTAATTGGCAATTGATTGTCTCGGATAGTTATAAAAATGTGACACTGTCCTAATATTGCTCAGTTCTTAATGAACATTTATGAAATTAGGAAAAAGAAAAAGTGATTGTAAATTGTCAAAAAGTGAGTGTTGAATCGTGAAAGTAAAATAATTAGTGCAAGTGGTAAAGTGTTCTATTACAAATCGCCAACCCAGAAGTTTAGTGCTAAAACATTATCGTTGATTTTGTGTAATTTATGTATTGAAATTAAATGATCTTTATTATTATTACAATGGAATAATATTCCAAAGTATATAATGGTGGTATAAAATAAAAAATTAAGTACGCATACTAATTATAATTTTTGCATTTATAATATTTTTATTTGATTGTAGGATACTGTGATAAAAGTTTTTATGTTATTGTACTGTACAAATAAAACAAATCGTTCAGTTATTTCGTCAAATATCGATATATTTTTCGACATTGTCAAGTCTATCACTAGTCGATGTCAAATGGACTAACTCGACAGTTTTGTCATTAATTGTTCTGAATGGTATAATCCAGCCATTTTATAATGGTTGTCAGATGTCAACAATACATAGAAATATCGACTATATTTAACATAGTTGGATAATATGACATTTTAATTTACATTTAATTAAATTTTGCGATAAATAACAATAAATGTAATAAAATAATGTATTTACAAGTGAAAAGAAATAGTGCTGCTTCCGCCGTTATAGTTTTGGCACCATTTAATAGAACATTTAGTCATTTTTGGGAGATGTTTTGTTGACAAGTAAGTGCTTGAGATTGACACAAAAAACAAACGACCAAGGTTAAAATTCCCTGGTTACTGACAAGACCGGTAAAGGTACGTCCGCTTATATGTCTGGTCCAGTGGTTAATTCGTTCATGGTATAAACATACCTATTTAAATGTCCCAACATATTTATATCAAGTGGAAATTTTCTTTCTCAATCCCTACTATTTTTTGTAATTTTGTTTTTATCTACGTACCACAATTTTTGTTATTTTAATATAAAAATTTTACTAACATTATTATTATTATTCACTTTCAAATTCTGTTAATTAAGAAGTCAAGAAAAAAATTGTCGAGAAAATAAACACGTTGTTTGGGCGATTTTGGAAGAAATTAATGTGGCAAAAAAAAAATTGAATGTTTTACTTATATGTTTTTAATCTGTAATTGCATATTATGCCGTGTCAAATATAGTTCCGTTATATAACAATAATTGAAGTGTTCGGTTTTTATTTCGGTTCCATTAAATCTTTATATATATAATTCTTCTGTGAGTGTGTATGTCACTGAACTTCTCTCAAACGACTGGACCGATTTTGATGAAAGTTTTTGTGTGTGTTCAAGGGGATCTGGGAATGGTTTAGATTCACAATTTGAATAATAATTTTCATCAAAAAAATTATTAAAAAAAGTTTGAAATTTTCAAATTAAAGACGTGTAGACAGGACAACGTCTGTCGGGTCCGCTAGTAAAGTTATAAATTGTTATTGTATGCTAATTATGGGATTATTAAAATGAATAGCAAACTTTCGTAAATTTATTATGTCCACTTTCAATCGCCTTATTTGGGCGAAGAGTAAATATATTCTTTGACGAGCGATATACCCTCGCTTCGCTTTAGGTAGGCAGCTTTTGCATATTTATAATGATTTCTGACAGTATAAGAAATGTCTTTAGCACTTGTTGGTAATGTGGTAATCTTCTATTGATTGGTAATGAGCTTCCTACTAGAGAAAGTATTATCAGATTCGAATCAGTAATTTCATACATTACATATAATTTCAGACATACAAACTTAGAAACTTTACTTTTTTATAATATTAGTGTAGATGTAGGTACATTTCTCTTGTACCTTAAACAATCATAATTCAAGCGGACAGGAGCTCTGGTAGAGCTCAGATACTTAGTCTAAAAGTCATAAAAGTCATTTGTAATAATAGCCGTGGTATTTTTTGGCGTTAAAATATTAGAAATTTCCATTTAAGACTAGTATCTTCTTATTCCAAAGAAACTATCAGGTCATTGAAGAATTTATAGCTATCTAAGACCAGATTAAAGTAACTGAAGGAAAAGGAAAGAATTTCTTATGAAAAGTTAATCTATATATATACCTATAATAAAATTGTAACTAAGCCAAAACTGTACATTACATATTTTTTTGGAAAATCTTATTGAAATAGACATTATTATCGATGCAGAGGCTAAATCTATAGTTTTTAGAATTTTTGTCTGTCTGGCTGTCTGTCTGTCTGTTACCGCATCACAGAAAAACCACTGGAGGGATTTTGATGAAATTTAGTATGGTGATAGCTGGTTATCCGGGTCAACATAAAGGATACTTTTTACCGCGGTAAAATATCTCGTTTCTGAGAAAAAACACAAAAACTGCATTATAAGAGTATACTAATATGTAAAACCTAAGAACTTGCTTTTTGGTCATCTGAACGCGGGCGGAGCCGCGGGCAATGCTAGTACTGTATAAACTGGGTCTATACTTCGTGCATAGTAATGAATAGTACTACTAATATTGGCATAACTTAACAATAAAATAATAACTTTTTGTTGTAACGCAATACAAGAAACTAATCTACAAGAAAGGCAAATTTTTCTTGCATGTAATGTATGTTTATTTCTTTAGTATTCTTTAAAGTCTTGTATAGACCTGTACAGATCTTAAAATGTACATGTCTTACCCTATGAGATATCATTAGACATGTTACATAGAATATATACCAGAAAATAATTCCCTTTACACAGTGAATCTTATTTTATTCTGCTCTTTTAACCGACCCACAACTGGTCACGGGCATTTCATCAATACAAGGGGGATCACTGATCAGTGACTGCATAGTCCACCACGTTGGCCAAGTGAAGGGTGGCGGAATTTACACGTTTTTGAAAAATTGCTAGGCAATCTCAGACATGCAGGTGGTACAACTCTTTACATTGTTTTCGTTCACGTAAGATAAAGTGGTAATCTAGTTGAAAATGCACATGAAAATATCCGTGATGCGTGCCCCGGGATGTGAACCCACTTGGTTTCAAATGTGTTATCACTGGGCTATCACTGCCTTTTCATTATTATTTACCAATTTGGTAGTATTCTTTTCAAAGTTGTTAGGTACCGTTATAGGTAATGAGTTTTCCACCGCTTTGTCCCAAAACAGTTATGTAGGACGCTTTAACCAAACTCCTAATTTAACTGCCGTGATTACGATATTTGCTAAACATATTTAAATAATTTTAGCAAATATCAAATTATTCTGTTTGATGTTTGATAATATATTGCATATGACACGAGAACAAGTTAGGAATATTGAAGAAAGTGGACTTTACAGACCAAATTCAAAATTATTACAACACTGAGTTACAATATTAATAAAGAAATAAATATACACTAGAAATACTCATCTAGAAATGTGTCTTGGGAGTTATTTACTATATTGTTATTCATATCAAAAATCATTATCCAGATATGTACTCCAAATAGCAGAGAAACTCGATGCCATTTTTGGCCCAGACTTCATTTTAGACAGCGTTACATTTGGCAGGTTACCAGACTCTACGGAGATCGACGGTTTGACCTCCTACAAGGGGTGAAAAAACACATTAAGTTATACATATATACATTTATATTGCTTACTGACGACAGTCGTGGTGCAATGTATATTTTTTGCCTTAAACTAAATTCACTAGTACAGCTAATTTTATATGAGTTTTTCATTGTGCTTCTTAGAAACTAACTTCTAAGAAAATATTAAATAACACAACTATTGACACTATTAGCGTTCTCATCCTTTAATGATAAAGGAGATTAATTTCAGAAACAACCAGAAAAGAAAATATAGCAGAGTAAAGCCGGGGGAGAATGCTAGTTAAGGACACATAGTGCTACTGTAAGTCAACACATGCAAGGTTATTGCTATCTACTAATTTATTATATAGTATCACTAGCAGAACCCGCGGCTTCGCTCGCGCTGAAACTGCAAAAAAATCTCTAAAAAGGTAGTTTCATACAAACTTTCATCCCTATTTTACCTCCTTATAGGATGAATTTAGAAAAATGCTAAAACACGTATTTATTTAATTTTATTGAGGAGCATTAATACCAAATTTCAGGTAATTCTGATCATACATATTTTTTTGAATTGTATTATAACGTGTTTTCCCGTGGGAATTAGATAATCCCCCCGGTAAAAAGTAGTCTATGTCACTCTCCAGCCCTCCAACTATCCCCACACAAAAATCTCTCCAATCTGTCAATTCGTTTCGACGTGAAAGAAGGACAAACAAACAAACA